TCTGTGCCAATATTCTTTCTATTATAGCACAAGGCCTCTTAGTTGGTCAACAGGTATTTACTGAGCAAGTCAATTATATCATTTTACAGATGAGGAAACTGAGGTTAAGAGAGGTTAATTGACTTGTACAGTGTCACACAGTGTCTGAATTGGGATCTTAACTTGGATCTACCTAACTCCAGGTCCAGGCCTCTATCTACTGTACTACCTAACTCAAATGTATACATACTTTATAATTTACAAAGTATTTTCCTCATAGAATGAGGTTTTCTCTTTTTTACAAATGAAGAAACTGAGGCTCATAAACATCAAGTGATTTGTGTGAGGCCATATGATCCATCACTGGCAGAGCTGTTGCTCTTTCTGCTATATAACACTTTGTCCTTATGACTGGAATATGTCCTCCAATTTCTAGATCAAAATTCAACAGGAGGAAAGCTATTAGAAAAGTAAATGTTAGTATTTTCTGTAGGCGAAAAGACATCTGACTCATTCATTGAATTAATTTAATTCAATAAATATCTATTAATCACCTAAATAATAGGGAGATACAGAACCTAGATAAGACTGGGTCTCTGCCCTACTGTCCATTACAGTCTTAAACAGACATATGAACGTGTAACTATAAGGCAAATAACAAAAGAGAGGTGCAAACAGAATGCTTTGCAAGGTCTAAAGAGGGAAGCATTGTGGGTTTTACAGGTTAGGATTTCAACAGGTAGGATTTCAGTAGGGGGAAAGGTTGAAAGGATAATAGGGAAAAGTGTGAGCAAATGCATAAAAGTGGGAAAACAGTGACTGGCAAATAGAAAGCATTTAATATTTGCTCATTGGTTGATAGAATGTAAGCTCCTTGTGGGCAAGGATTGTCTTGCTTTTTGTATTGGTATATCTGGTGCCTAACAGTGCCTGGCATGTAGCAAATGTTTAATAATGACCATTCTTTCATTCACTCATTCAAAGTATAGAACATGTGCTTGGGACAGCAAGTAATCTGGTTTGTCTGAACCGCAGAGTACATGGGGGGGGGGGCTGTAATATAAATAAAATTGGCACTAAACTGTGGAAAGTCTGGGATCCTAGGCAAAGAAGTTTGAACATTATATGGCAGCCAATGGAAAGGCATTAAGGAGTTCTGAGTAAAAGAAATATACATAAAGAGGATGAGGCTGGAGGTAGTGTAGTTATTGCAATAGTCCAGGTGGGTGACAGTGAAAGCCTATACTAAGATGGTGGCAGTGGAATTAGAGAAAAGAGGATGCATATGAGAGTTTTGCAACAGGAGAATTGATGGGACTTGGCAATTCTTCAGATGTGAGACATGACGGAAATGGAAAAGCCAAGTGTTACCCCAACATCGTATGGGAGACTGGAAAATGGTGGTGGCACTGACAGAAACAGTGAAGCCAGAAAGAAAACAGGAATAAGACAAACAATAAGCTCAGTTTTAGATATGTCGGGTTTGAGGTGTTGATGAGAAATCCAATTGGAAGTGTCCTATAGGCAGCCGAAAACATGGAAAGAGAACTCAGGGCCAGAGATGTTGATTTTGGTAATCACCTGAATTGAGGTATTATATAGTATATGGTATAATGCTGTCAAGAGATTGAGAAGAATGAAGACAAAAAAAGGCCACTGGATTTAATGATCGTGAAGTTTCTGATGTCTTCAGGAGAGTGGTTTCAGTCAAAGATAGGGATTGAGTCAACAGCATTGTTCCAGACTGCTGCTTTTCCTTTTATAGGAATTTACAGGAATACTGAATATGCTAATACTGAAACAACTTTGCACAAAAAATCTTTCTACTGCATATTTTTAAAATAATTTTTCTAAAGATCGTGTCAATAAATGCATTTTTTGAAATTTATTTCTAAATTACATCTAAAAATTAGAAAATTATTTCTAAGAATTATACCATAGATTTTTGTACAAAGCTATTAGTATTTTCTTAAGTATATTATTCATCATTCTAAAATAAGCAAAATCCACAACTTAATTTTGGGAGGAAGGGATATTTGTCCCTGAAATTCCAACCGACTTTTTTGGCCTTTACATCTAGCACAGACATAACAATGAGAGAATAATTAAATGTTAAATTGTGTGGTACTGATTACCAGTGCAATTAATCAACAGGTATTTATTGAGCACCTGCTATGTGCTTATTACTACGGAGAATAAAGAAAAAGAAGGCATAGTCCCTGCCCTCGGGGATCTTGAAGTCTACTTGAAGAGGACAAACTATTAAATGCTAAATTGTGTAGGGCAGAGTTTGAATCCTCAGAAAAGATATCAATGAGAGCTGGAGAAGTTTAGGAAAGCTTCAAGGAAGAGTCAAAACCTTAAACTGAGCCTTGAAGGATGGAAAGGATTTGAGTAGCCAGTGAAAGAGGGGAGCACTTTCACACCAGGCACAGGAAATAACACAAACAAAGGTGTAGGAGTGAACTAGAACATGGCTCACATATGGAGACAATAAGGACATCAGCCTAACTAAACTAGAGGGAGCACGCTAGAGAGTAGTAGAAGGATAGTAATGGAGAGGATATAGGACCAAACCATGGAGGACCTTAGAATGTCAGGCAGGTCTTAGATTTGATATGGTAGGAAACAGGGAACCTGTCCTTGAAGATTCTTGAGAAGGGTTGTGATGTGATAAAAATAGTCATTAAGGGGACAGCTAGGTGGCACAGTGGATAGAGCACTGGCCCTGGATTCAGGAGGACCTGAGTTCAAATCCGGTCCCAGATCAAACACTTGACACTAGCTGTGTGACCCTGGGCAAGTCACTTAACCTCATTGCCTAGCAAAAACCAAAACAAAACCAAACAAAAAAAAATAGTCATTAAGGACTTTTAATTTGGTTGGGGTATATAGAACAGTTGAGGACTTTTCTGGAGTCAGGGAGCTTGTTTGGAAGGTTGGTGAAGGAATCTAGACATTAGGTGATCTGAAGGTCAACTTGGAATGGTAGCAGTGGAAGTGAAAATGAAGGCTTTAATTTAAAAGGCATCAAAAGAAGAAATGACCGGATTTATTGATTAGATGTGGGAGGCAGGGTATGAATAAAGAGGCAGAGATGACTCCACAGTTTCAAATCAGAAAAAAGGGAAGATGGTGGCACCATAGACAAAAAGAGGAAAGTTGGGGAGCAGGGAGGTGAACTGTTTTGTAAAGAAAGATGACAAGTTTTAAAGATGTTAAGTTAAAGGTGCCAGCAAAATGTTTAAAAATATTTTTTACTAGTCCTGTGATTTCATCAGTATCAGGAGCTACTACTTCTGATGGAGATTGTCACCAGCTCCGCAATTTAGTCTTGGATAGTTGCCAGGGGACACTGACAGGGTAAGAGGTTAAGTGACTTGCTCAGGATCACACAACCAATATGTATCAGGGGTAGGACCTGAACCTAGATCTGAGGTGAGGTAATGTTGCGTAGCAGATAGGGCACTGCATTTGAAGGCAGAAAAACCTGTGTTCAAATCACACCTCAAATATCAACATACCTTGGTGGACCATATGACCCTGGGCAAATTGCTTAATCTTTCTATGCCTCAGTTTCTTCATCTGTAAAGTGAAGGGTGGACTGAATGGTTTCCAAGGTCCCTTCCTTTGACACTGTTGACTGAGTCAACTGTATCAAATGCTTCAATGGGATTGAAGAGAATGAGGAGTTTGAAAAGGTCATTAGGTTTGGTCATTGACGACCTTCAGGAAAAATTTCAGTGGAATGGTGAAGTCAGAAGACCGATAACAGAAGGCAGAGAGAAAGGGTAGACGGAGAAGGTGCCAACAGAAAGAGACAAAGATGGCAAGGGCGGGGTAATCTAGAAAGTCTTGGTGAAGTTGGGAGGGCATGAAGTCCAGGTCTTTCCCCAGGGCACAAATAGAAGTATAGGATTTAGAGAAGAGAAGAAGCACAACTTCCCTGAAGACAGGGAGGAAGAAAAAAGATGAAGAGATAGACATATAAAATAGGGGTGAGGGCTGATGAAGGCCTCCATCTTCTTAGTTAAGTAGAAGGTAAAGTCATCCTCTTCAAAGAGTCACCAATAAAAGGAAGGTGTCAGGGCAGTTTCTCCAACTCATATTGTATGCTTAAGTTTATAATTCATCTTCATTCAATTTGTGTAACTATCTGATCACATAATTTTCCAAAGAAACACACCCTTTGCCTACATAATAGACCCTGGGGTTCCCTGCGAAGCTTGAGTTGAAAGCTGGACAGTATAAATCCATAATGAACCAGGTTTGCCTGGTTCTAAGAGCCTTTAACGGGGCTTTGCTCCCTGGGATCGGGAGCAGGGAAAGTTCCTAGGAGCATCTTCTAATTTATTTAAATGTGACAGAAACAAACAGCAAAACATCTCCCTGTTCTGCCTCCACCTGACAGCCCCAGGCACTTGCCATAGAGAAACCAGGCAATGTCCTTAGTGAGGTTATGTCCTTCAGGACTCTGGAAGGGACATGGTGGGAAGGGTCAGTATGAGCATGGAGGTGAGGAGGGAGTTGTGTTCCCTAGAACCTTAGAAGGTGTTGGAGGGACTAAAATTGGCAGGTCCAAAGGAAGAAGGGTTGGATGTGGTGGTGAGAAGGTTGTGATGTTACCAGAGAGACTACTTACTGGGAAGCACTGGAGGGACCAGGAAATCAAGTCAAGAGGCATTTGTTAAGTGCTTACTATGGGGATTTTTAAAAAGGCAAACTCATTCTCTGGCCTAAAGAAACTCACATTGTAATGGGGGAAACAACATACAAATATTGGAGTTAATCGCATATATCTATGTAATAGTCCCCTTTCCCAACCTTATATCCTGTGTTCTTTCTGCTGCCCCCTGAGAAAACATGGTAGCCAAACACACAAAAGACACATACAGATACAGATACGGTCTCACATGTACAGATGTACTGCTATTCATACATGATCATGTGGCAGTTTCTTTTTCATAGAGTGACCTGGTTTGAGTACCAGCCCCTCACCCCCGTGCCTTGTCTCTTTTCAGGTCGTGACATGGCGAGTACCACCCTGCCTGGTTATCCCCCCCATGTTCCCCCTACTGGCCAGGGAAGCTACCCCACCTCTACCCTGGCAGGAATGGTGCCTGGTAGGTGATAAAAAGCCACAGTCAAGGGCTGGGGAGAAGGGGAGGGATCATGCCTGGGGAAACTAAATCATAGATGTTCTGTGAGTACAGATTCTCTTTCCTAACCTCCACCTTCAGTCATATGACTTCTTTCCCTGCTATCCCCAAAGGGTGGTCTCTTTCTGTGTTTTCCTTCTCTTCCTCTCCTCAGTGTAGGCTGGATGGAGCCCAGGCCTGGGAAAACCCCTGGAGTATGGTTACAGGGATACATATCTGCCCCCACCACCACCATAGTGGAGTCACCTCTCCTGTCACCTCAGCTTTAGCCTACTGCCCCCATCAGTGCCCAGAGACCACCCCAGGTCCTGGCCAGTTAGCTGACTATATACACCCAGAGCATAGGGCCAGGCCAAGCTGAGGTGGCTTTGAAAAGCCTACCCTGGTTTCCATGGAAACCTGGAGTCAAGCACCATTTCTAGACAAATGTCAGTCACCTAGACAAAGCCACCCTGGCTAACACCAACCCCCAGAGGGGAGGCTAGGAAAGGCAGTGCAGAGCAGCACTTTCTTCCCTCAATCTGGCAGGGGACAACCTCCAAGAAGGCAGACCTAGGATTCATGATATGGCCTGGGTCAAAGGGGCTCTAGTTCTAGGGAGATAAGCCAGAAATAAAACCACCTCCTCCTAGAGACACCCTATGCCCCAGTATAGGAGGCATCACCTGACGTTTATATATATACAACCAGCAGTTAACTCTCCCCTTTGTCTGAAAGAGGCAAGGTTGGTTTGCTGCATCTCAGAGGAAAATAGGTGGGGTGCAGAAGGTGATTTCCCTAGGTTATAACTTTGCCCCTATTTTCCCATGACTCAAGGATGGAGCACTGGAAAATGAGTTGGCTTTCCCAGTTAGAGCAACCCATCCCTTCTATGGAAACCCTTTTACCAAAATGAATGTGGGACCAGGTCCCCTTTCTCTTCCATACCCTTGCCCTTTGGTGATTTCCTTTCTCCTACAAGCTGGAGACTTGTAATATGATTCAGAGGGGCATATCTGTAGTGTTATTCGTCCGTCCAAGGCCACACCTTATAGACACAGGAGGGTACCAAGGGAGTTGGAGGCAGTGGGTGTGGAGGAGATGAGGAAACTGGTGGGAGATAAAGAGGGGAACCTCAAGGGAGAAGAGGTAAGGTGAGTGGGGGATGGTATGAGGACGGTGGTAGAAGGTAGGAAGTGAAGACACCCTCTAGGAGGAGTAAGGGGAGCAGGCAGCAAGGGGTAAGGGAGGGTAGGAGGTAAAGTGAGTCAGTGGGAGGGAGTTAGGGAGAGAGGGTATAGGGAAGTGAGGGAGGGTGAAGGGAGGTGGGGGTAGGAGGCAGGGGAGCCGCAGTGGCAAGAGGGGAGTCGTTAAACAGAATCCAGTGCTGATGAGGAAATTACACTTGTTTCATTAGCGATCGGGGAAGGAGATAGCTCAGTTCCTCTTGGTCACAGTTGAGCTCAGAAGCTCATTATCCTGCTGCACGCATGCTTTCCCTCCTCGTCAATAAACAGGCTTTCCAGTGGCTGCATCCCCCCTCCACCCCCACCCCCACCCCCCCAGCTCCCTCTCTGAGAGGGGCTCCTTCTCCTCTACTTAACCTGCGCTGCAGGATCAGTGTAAACAGTCTGGGGTCATCACACAGGAGAAAGGGTGAGAGAAAAACTCAGAGGCCTGGCCTTTCTGAGAGGAGAGAGAAAGGGAGGAGGCAGGGGGGACAGCCAGTGCCAGCTCCTGGGCGTCATCCCACCCCCACCCCTAGGCCTTTGGAAAGCTTGCCCTTCTCTTCGGGGCTCACGAAGGTCCTAAGCATTGGTCTTCCTTCCCTCCTTAGACCAAAGCAGTGTCCATCTTCTTCCTGTCTTGTACTCCATGATGTCTCTCTTCCCCAGTCCCCTGTAGTCCTAGAGAACTAACCTCAACCACACTGCAATGGACTGCGCCCACATTGTGATTTCCTCTGGGTATGACAATGGATAAGAAGCAGTTACTGGGCTTTTTCTGTGTCCATGGGCATGGAACACTGCTAGCCCCCCTCCCCCATTCCAGGCCATTCTCAATAGCAGCAATCGTAGGAAAATGGGTCTCTTGCCCTCTCGGCAATGCAAGCTAGAAGTCTAGGTTCGATGGATGGCCCAAGCCCTTCAGCTTGGTTTGGCACATCGAGGACATCAGGTCCTCCCGCTGATTCCCACCAGGCAGTGCCATCTCCCCAGTAACAGCAGCAGCAGATAGCCCAGGCTTCCCAGCTTGTAAAGGGAATCACCATCAGAAAAGGAGGGGAGCAAAGCAGAGCCTTGCTGAGTAGGCATGCACTCACCCACCCAGCAGTCTTTGGATATGCTCTTGGCATCCAGACACCTCTATCTTGGGGGCCCTGGGACCAAACCAGTTTCCTTACTCCATTCAACAAGCTCCCCCTGTCTACTCCTCCAAGCCATCATCAATCTATCTGTCTGGGTCAAGCCAGGCCGGGGTGTCAGGGCAGGAGGCTTTTCCACTTCAGGATACTCAACTGCCCATTCCTATGATGATAACAACCATGTTGTCGGTCAAACTGTCTGCATCCCTAGGACTCACCCCACTCATGTCTCCTCTCCCTTCCCTGCAGGAAGCGAGTTCTCAGGCAATCCCTACAGCCACCCTCAGTACACAACCTACAATGAGGCCTGGAGATTCAGCAACCCGGCCTTACTAAGTGAGTACGGCCACCAGAATGTCTTGTTTGTCTGCTCGCCTGCCCCATTCCAGATTTTTAGCTCCGCTCATGTCAGCAATGGGAGTATGGGGGTAGGGGTGGGGAGAGGTTAGCTCAGACTTGAGACTCAAACCAGACTCTTCCTTCATAGAGATCGGTCCCCCTCCTTCCCTCCTCCCGTCCCAGATGGGCTGGACAGGGCAGGCAAACCTAAGTAAGTGCACTTGTGACCAGTAATTCGCTGTCGCTGGAGGTTTCAGCAAATGGGTGATGGTCCTCGTGCGTCTGGTGGGCCCAAAGGATTCGATTCTCCCGATCTATCGCTGTTTGCCTGCCGGTGGATAATCCGGCTGAGGCCAAGAGAGGCCAAGAGAGGCCAAAGTGCCAAGGCCCCCAGAGCCGGCCATTTCGGCCCTCCTCGCCCCCTCATGTCACAGCCCTGGGGGTTTTCGGTTTGAGTTACTTTTCCTTTTTGTTCTCCTGTTTGTCCTCTCACCCAGCCCATTCTTCTCCTGTGTTAACTTCCAGGTTCCCCTTATTATTATAGTGCCACCCCCCGGGGCTCCGCCCCTGCCGCTGCTGCCGCTGCCTATGACCGCCACTAGTTACCGCGGAGACCACATCAAGCTTCAGGCCGACAGCTTTGGCCTGCACATTGTCCCCGTCTGAAGCCCGCCCGCCTGCTCGCCCGCTCGCTCGCCGCTGGCCTCTCTCCCGCCGCTGGCCTCTCTCCCGCCGCCACGCACGGAGGGAGGGAGGATCCACGCCACGCCCCGCGACGGGACGGGACGCTACACCTCCCAGTTGGCCTCTGTCCCCTCCATTTCCCTCTTTCCCTGCCCCGCAGTGTTTCTTTAAATCCGGGACGCGTTGAGACGGGACAGGCTGAGTCTCGAGAGGAATCCACAGACCCAGCCTTTTGCCCCTCTCTGGCCTCTGCCTCACCGCCCTCCGCAGTCTCCTGCAGGTCCGCCGGGAGGGAGGTGTAGGGATGTGCCCTAACCTGGTCTGGCGCCCGCCCCCTCCCCTCCCAGTGCGCCTCCTCGGGCCGGGGCAGAGTCTTGTGGCGTTAGCTAGGGTGTAGCACGCCCAACCTATAACGGGTCTGCTCGCCTGGGCCTGAGCCAAGTCGGGTGGGCTGGACTGTAAGAGCAGGGACAGCAATCACACCCCCACCAACCCGACCCAGTCAGGCCCGCCCTGCCCGCCCCTCCCCATCCCGCAGCCTGCGAAACCAGGAGAAAGAGCGACATGGTGTTAAGCCGCTTTGCCGGGAAGGCTTGGGAAAAGAAAATCCTGAACAAAAAAAGTTATAAACTAAAGGAAAGAACTACCCACTCGACCCCTAGTGCGCTGGGCTGTCTTCCCCCACCCCCACCCCCAGCCCAGGACGTAAGGGGGAATGTGATAGAGAACGTCTGTGGGGCCAGAGTCCTGCGAGACAGTGTCTCTGCTGATGGGACACAGGGCAAATGGCCCTTCCAGCTAACCGGACTTAGTCTGGTTCTTTCCTCTTCCCACCAAAACCGCCGCACCCTATACCATCACTACTGCTCCTGTTGCTGTTTGGAGCTATATCCCTCCCCAGCCCCCATGGGCTTCCCGGAACCCTGGGACACACTTAACCGTGCATCTCAGACGCCTCCCCACTCCATCTCAGCCTTTACAATCGTGTTCAATCTCAATTGGGCTGGGTCACCCTAGAGCAATGGGTCCCAGTCCCAGTCCCAGAGCTGGTCCCAGCCCTGATTCTGGACATAGACCCTCACTCTGGGGCTGGCCAGGTGGAACAGCCCTGGACCAGCGCGGTCCGCTCCTCCTCCCCCCAAGGAGCCAAGACAGGGGGTTTGGGGTCCAAGTCGGGTCAGCATAGGGCAGTGTCTGAGTTCTCGCTGCCCGAGATAGGCTTGGGACCTATCTTGGGACCTAGCAGGACCGCCACTAGTCTTATCAGCGAGAACTGAGCAGGGACCTCAAATTCTACAATTATTTAATATTACGGTATTTGCGAAAAGAAAAAGCCTATGGCTTGCTGCTTTATAGAAAGACGGTGTGTGTTGTGTGAAGGCGAATCCTCGTGTATATAAACCCTTCCAATGCCCCTCCCGGCCTGGGCCATCCTGTATCGTAGTGACTAAAGCCACCCGCTGCCCGCCTGTAGATAAGCCCTGCTGTCTGTGCTGTTAAGAGTCGCCGCTCACTTTGGGGGGGAGGGGGGAGGAGGGAGGACATGGGGGGAGGGGGTACACAAGATACATACCCAATAAAGCACAGCACGTGGGGGAGGGGCGCGGGGCAGAGGGGGGATTTTTTTTATGTTGCAAAAAAAGAAAGGTTTGAAAGAAAAGAAATCACTATGCAAAATGACTCCTGTGGACTCCTCTACTGTGGTTGTTCCCTTTTAAACCATCTCTCTCGGTACCGTGCTTCCGCCCCGTTTCTCTTTCTGTGTCTCTTTCCTCTAATACTGGCTTCTCCCTCAGCATCTCCTCCTACCAGGCCTGATTTATCATCCTTGAGCTCTCAGTCCTGCCTGGCCCCAGATCTGCACCCTCCTGTCCTGGGAAACTGATGGCTTGAACAGCCCCTCGTGCCAGTAGCTGTCTTATAGGCTCTTTTTTTCTCTCTACTCTTCTCCCCCTTCTTCTTCCTCTCTCCCTTCCTCTCTGCTCTCCTCTCCATTCCCTTTTCCCCTTCTCTCTCTCCACTCTGCGTCTCTTCTTTCCCCTCTTTTCCTTTCCTCTCTCTCCTCTCTTTTCCTCTGGTCCCCACCCCAGAGCGGCTGTGCCTGCATGTTTCCTCACCTGTGGATAGTGACGACTCGAAATAACAGAAACAAAGTCAATAAAAAGTGAAAAAAAAATTTTTTTTGAACTGGAAGAGTCCGGAGCCCGAGCCCCAGGGAGGCTTCCTCCTGCCTAACTCACCTGGCCGGCCTCTGAACTTCCTCCCAGAACTTTACTGAGAAAAGTGAGAAAACACAATAGTTTTACTGAACTGTCGGCGCCTCGGGGCGAACCCTGCCCTGACTCAAGCCGGAACAACTGACTGACAGGGCAGGGACCTGAGCCTGGGAGACTCCGAAAGTCACCCTCAGCCTAGGTCTGACCCTTAGCCTCCCTCAGCCTTCCCCAGCTTCTTTCAGCCTCCCTCAGCGCCGGTTCTGTTTGATTCCTTTTGTGCACATGAGAAATAAATAAATAATAAATAAATAAATAAATAATAATAATAATAAATGAAATTTTGTATGTCACTCCCAAAGACTCCTGGCTTCTTTCTCCCAAACTAGAGGACCTTTACTGATTCCCTTCATTGACACCCTCTATTAGACCCCCCCCCCACTAGTCTTCTCCCACTGCCTCCCTTATTCATTAAGCCTCTCATTAACCACCATACCTCTCCCACATTGATTCCTTCCCCTTACTGGCCCTTCCTACCAATATCTTCCACGAACCTCCATCACTGCCCTTTCCCACCTCCTCTACCCCCAGCTCCTGCAATTCCCCAATCTTCAATATTCTTACAAACCCTCTGCAGCACCCCCCTCATTCTGATTCAGATACAGAATTAGATCAGAATGGGCAGGTGAGCCAAAGGTTGAGTTGATGTCCTAACCCACCCTCCCACCACTTCACTAGAGATGGAGTTTCCATTTTGGAGCAGCCAAATAGTCAATCAGCAGCTGGGTTGAGAAGGGCTTCAAACTCCCCCTTCCTCCCCTCCTGGAATTAGGTATTTAGGTGGAAAGAGTAGCTTCTGTCTCTGAAGGTGGAACCACTAAACTGGTCTCTGGGTTTCAGGGGAAGGTGGATTTAAATCGGTAATTCTCAGCTGGATAGGAGAAAAGGGAGATGAAGAAGCAGCTCTTGAGGCTGCTGGACTAAGTGTAAGTCTGGGCAGCACTTGCTGGGTAGTAGAGCTGTTAGTCCTTCTCTTTCTTCGTTGGGGAATGAGGGCTGACAGGTATGGGCATCCACCAAGTGATGGTGGCTGGAGACATAAAAGGAGGCAGTTCACACATGAGGGAAATTTTTTTCCTTTTATCTCCCAGTTTTCTAGGGGTTCCTGGTATAAGACCAGATGGGCCTAACAGCCCAAAGCTCCAAGCTCAAGTTCTAAGTGGCTGGGGACACTAACACTGAGAACGATAGCCATACTAAGACCCTATGGATCCAACCACTGTGCTGTGCTTCTGGTTCTTCACAGTGAACCAGGTCCTATCTTTCAAGGCTGTGGGAGGCCAGGGCAGTTAGCCACTGGAGGAAAACAGAATAGAAGTAGATATCCCTGTGTGCCAAGGCCTGTGCTCCCCACACAGGAAAGGGAGAGAGACAGAAGGAAAGGCAATACACCTAGATCCTTTCCCACTTAAAAGATAAGAATCTCATGACGAGAAAAGAATTTAGGACACTAGGCTGGGTGCTCTCGCTCAGTTCCAAATAAGCTGCACAGATGGTAGGTGCTAAAGGAGTGTAGGTTGATGAAAAGAGCACTGAATTTGAAGGAAGACCTACGTTTGAGTTCCTGCTGTGCCATCTACTGCCCCTTTGACTTTGGTCAATCAATCAACAAGCATTTATTAATTTCCTACTATGTACCAGATACTCTGCTAGGCACTAGGGATAAAAATACCACCCTAGTTGGAGCCCTTATTACTTCGAACATAAACTATAGTAATCTCCTAACCAGTTTTCCTGCCTCTAATCTCTTCCTCCTCTAATAGATTCTTTTAAAAAAAAAAGTCTAAATAATCAAGCCTCAGTTCCTTTGTCCTCCTTCAATCTCCACATCAGTTAACTGCCCCCAAAGCTTCCCCCTTAGACCCTGTTATAATCCAGAACTGCTCCATTTCCAAGGTTCTGAATTTGCAAATTCCCAATTCTGACCACTATCTCCTATCCTTCCACCTCTCCCATTCCCTCACTCCTTGCTTTTATCAGGTTCCCTAGCCCCTTAGGGATCCTTCCCTTTTCTTTTGGTCTATCCCACCTACTCTGGTTTCTTATCCCTCCACACCCAGCCTGAACCCCAAGATCAGTCATTTCGTTAATGTTTCACTACTACTGTAGGCTACCTAAAGGGGCACACTTAATCTTGAACAATAGGATCTCAGATTTAGAGGTAGAAAGGACCTTAGAGTCTGTTCCCAGCATTTTACAGATGAGGGAACCAGGGTACAAAGAGTAAAGTGACTTACTCCAGGTCAAGCAGGTAGGAAGTTACAAAACTCAAATTTGAACCCAAGCACTGACTCCAAATCCAGTACTCTTTTCAATAATAATGATGATGATATAAGCTAGTATTTACATTGTGCATTAAGATTTGCAAGGCATTTTACATGTCATCTCATTAGATTGCCACTATTCTACTATTGGTACTTTCTTGCCCTTTATATTCTAATGTCCTGGCTTATTTGGTAAACCTCATCCCTGGGTTACCTCCACATCTTTTCTCCTATTGCTGGGCACTGAGCACATCAGATTAACACTACAGATTCATGTTGTTGAACCTAATTCATGCTTTTAAGCCTTTTCTGGTGCTCCACAACCTATACTAACATCCACTATTTATCACATTTCCCACATCTTCTATTCCAAACCTCCTTACTCCTTGAATGTCCAGCCTCATGACCACCCCTTCATCTCATTAGACAGCATTGTCTTTTTCTG